TAACACAAAACCAATCCCAAATCATCTACAGGCCTCACAATGTTAAGCTACATCTTTTTTACTTTTTGAAAGAAGGAAGAAGAGGATGATTGAGAGAGAGATGGGCAGACGGGCTGGCAGAAGAGCAGCAGTGAGGGCAGTGAATGGAGCAAATGTTAAGACTCATTCATCCTGACAGTGTGCATGGTACCAGTCAGGGGATCAGAAGACAGAAGGAGGACCCCCCCCCCCCTCCCCCAAAGACACACAGATAGTCCCCATCACCTCCTCTGTGCAGGCAGCAGGGGGTTAAGAAGGCCACTTAGCAGTTCATCCCCAAATATTGGTCCATGGTTGACAACACTCATAGTCTTTGCCTGGTGGTCATCATACCCATACTGCTTTGCCACTTGATGGAAGATGAGTAACGGTCTTCTTCCATACTGGCTAGTGTGTGTTCCAAGTTGGTTAAACTTCCTAAGAATCCGTTTGCTTTTTCTTGGATAAAGTCCAAAAGGTGCTCCAGGTCCTGTTAACGTTGCTTTTCCTAGAAACACCAGGGCAAATTTTCCTCACATTACAACATGGTAAACTGTATCGGAGCTGATCTCATTTGACTTTTATACTTATTTAAGAGGCCTCCTGTTGTTCCCCTAGTCCCCTTTTGCTTACTTCTGTTACATAGTGACATCACTATGTAACACTCACGCTTCTATTGGACTATCGCTCCAACACATTGTATGTGATAGGCTGAGGGGCGGGACATCTCTAAGCCGTTGACCAATCACAACAGAGCCGGCCAGCTAACCAGTCAGAGCAGACTGGGCTCTGGTTTCAGACAGAGGGTGAAAAGAGGTGCTGCAGCACAGGCAGTATGAGACAAATAAAGAGGTTTTTGAACATTAAAGCATGGAGACATGTCCCAGGAGAGACACACAATCAAAATAAACTGAAAATGAACATAACATGTCCTCTTTCATTTGCAAGTACAACTTTTTTAACAACTTTCTCTTCGTCCACCACCACAAGAAATGTTGTATGCTCTTAGCTCTTTGTCCTGGCGGGGAAAGGTGTTGGGATTCAAGTTGAACATACATTTTGGGCCCTAAGCCGGATCCTCTGCAGTGGAAACACAAAAACTGGTTTCATTTGTGCTCCGGCTCCAAACTCTCCCTGGAACTGCCTCTGTGGCAAAGAGGTAAGTGATGATAGGTATGAAGTCCTCTTTTCTCCTGTGTTTCCCCAGTGTGACATCACTGTTCATTCAGTAAATGACTACCCAATGCATTTTTATTACAGTCTTTGATTTATATCCAAATCATTTGACATCTTACACATTGGTTTTAAAGTGATGCTAAGGGTCTTTAGAAGTTGGGTTATATGAAGAACTTATCCAAACCAAAAAGTCATACCAAACAGAAACAAATCTAAAGACATATAGAGGCAAACGTGTAATATTCCTATCAAGTCCTCAACAAGGAAGCAATCCAATACATTAGCCCAAAACATACTTTAAACTTAAAAAATGTTGTCATCAGAAAATAATATGCATTTTTGAAAGTGCCAGATGTATGTTACTCGTTGTTCAAAGTGAAATAGTGTTGAAAATTAATTGTTGTATTCATCGATATTTGATATTTTGCTATAATGTATGTGGTCTAACATTAGCAAAATGAACACTTAAATAAAAAGGATGGAAATACTATATTTTAAATATTACCAACATAATGGGGGTTCTCTCGTTTGTCTTGGCCTCAGGCTCTTGGCGGCTAAAAGAAAAATGTGTTTTATATGATCAGTATCACTTTATGTATTTGCACAACTGTGTGTTTTTTTATTTTTTTATTTAGCCTTTATTTATACAGGTTTAAAATCTCATTGAGACACAAGGTCTCATTTCCAAGAGAGACCTGTTGAGCAGATGATAGTGTCAGGGTGACAGGAAGTGGAGAGAATGTGCACTCAGACATCATTTTTGAATAATTTGTTTGATATTAGAGGTTAATGAAGGCAAAAAGAAAGTAGTGTGCTGATGCTGGAGTTTTCCTAAAAGCTTCACACACACTGTCATCTCAGTTCTAGGAGATCTAAGAGAAGGGAGTCCTTATATCATGTTAGGAAAAAAGAAGGGATGACAAAGAGGGGTGGGATAAGAGAAGATGAGGGGACAGAAATAGACGGTGTGTGTGAGTGTGTGAGGGGACTCCAGATGTGTGTTTATCCTGCACCGGGGAAGACTGTGTCGTGCCAGCTGAGATGACAGAACAGACGAGAGCCATGAGGCAGACAGGCCACGTAAACACACACTCCAGAGGTGTGTTGTTCCGAGTCATGCTGAACAGATACACCTCAGCAGATTTCTATTCCATTTCTATTTCTGCGTTTTCCTTCTGCTGGTAAAAAATATGGTATTATGCAAAGTCAGCCTCTGCCTCATTACACCCGTATGACCTGTTATGAATTATACAAGATCAAACAGACTGGGCAGCAGTTGCCACGACAGGAACACAAGGTTATGGTTGGGGTGGGACCTGGTTAACCCCCCCCCACACACACACACACAACCCTGCAGATACCATCTGGCTACCTTACATAACGGCAGAGCAGACTGTAACATGATACTACGCAGGAATATATTCCATGTTCCCAACCTTCAATAAACAGAATTTTATGGAGTTATTAATTATGTGAGGTGGAAAATTCAGAAACCATGGCCACTAGTAGCAACCCTAGATGTTATGTTTGCAGTATGGATGCTGAGTTAAAATACATCTTAAAGTTGCAATGTTAATGACAAGGCCAGAGGCCCTATGATGCTTTTTGGGGTTTTCCCTTTCCTGTAGTGAATACATAGGTTATTGTGCATGTAAATGTACAGTACGGTGGCCGACAGGTGCAAACACAAAGGTTCATAACATTTCTATGAGGAGAAATGTGCTGCACTTTCAAAAATGATTCAAATATAAAAACACAAATGTCACAAACACATGCAAATGAAGAAACATCTTCACCAACTGGACAAAACATGTGTCGGTTTACTAAAAGCACTACAGAAGCAAAACTCTGCAAATACAAAAACGCTGCAAGAATCTCGAAAACACAACGGAAACGGGGACACTAAAAAGTGATGCACACAGCTGGAACCAGATGTCGTTGCCGTTGGGGGATTATAAATTTGGCCAAAAACTGAAACTTGCCTGAAGTATACTTTTTATTGGCTTATTTTGACAATATGATCGCATGACTCCTTCCGATATTACTAGGTTAGCTAACTAGCTTACAGCAGATCTGCAATGATATTGGACTTACATTGGACTTATCGGGTAAGGGGCGGGACATCTCGAAGCAGTTTATTAAAGCATGGAAACATGTCACAGTAGAGTCATATCCTTTCAATACTACAACTAATGTTTATCATCAGGTCAGTAAAACAGGAAGTATGAAGCCATGTTTGTTGTTCCTAGGTGACATGCTGTTCTGTGGAGCTCCTAACCTGCTCCTCTCTGCCTGTGATCCATGACAGCCAGGTGTGTGCTGAGCCTGGGAACAGATTACAGCCTCTCTGTCCCTCAGTCTGCTAAGCACCAGTTCAGCCTCATTCAGCGCTGAAACCAAGGCCTCGAATAGAACAGTGGTGGACCAATCACAGGCAGGGGAGGAGTGCCTCTGCCCTTCCAATAAAGTCACTGGAAAACAGTTGTACAGAGTGGAGGAACAACGCCACCGTGTGTTGGTTAGGAAATGTGAGTAGGTTCTTAAAGTGGATGTGACCATGAGTTCCTGTTAAGAATGATGTCGATATTTTCTCAATTTTTTATTAGAGATACAGACTATTTGATCAAATGTTCTTTCTTTAGGTTTTAAAATATAAATGTTCCATATAAAACATTAACTTCTTTGGAGAAACAATAATTCATAATTAGAGTTTTCTAGAGAAACAGTTTTGTTGGTTGTGTATTTTTAATGGCTTGACTTTACTGACAGTAAAGTTGTTTTGACCTAGTATGGAAAAGACATTGGGTGTTTCTCAATGTCGAGGACGCTTCCTTGGTAGCACATGTACCTCCGAGTCAGTTGCTTCAGAAGCGAGGCAAGAATCCTTCCTAGCCTCGGAAAACGAAGAATTGTGGAACAGGCTAACAGGTGTGCAGGTGTGCGTCATATGAGAGGCCCCGCCTTAAATGGAGCGCAATTTCCGCCAAAGATTTGGAAATTGGTCCGTGCGCAAAGCATTGTGGGGATTTTAAGCCCGCGGAGGATACACATGTGCAGCCTCGAAATTTCTCGCTACGAAGTACGCCGGGCTCGGTAGAATTCCAAGAAGCCTGGACATTGGAACAGTCCTTCGACGGCACTCGATGACGTAGCATCCTTGAAATAGTGGCTCTGGAGCATCCTTCCTTGACATTGAGAAACACCCCCAGTGTACCTGAAGTGCCCCCTCTGAAGTGTTTGGCTGAAATACCAAATAGATCATGCATTGTAGCATCCCACAGTTTCAGCCCTGTTTCAAAAGTGCTTCAGTGTCTGTGGCTTTAAATGCTAATGAGCTGCTAGGAGGAGATTCAGGTGATAAGGTGGGGTCTGAAAATGAGCTGATCAGATTTTGGAGACTTTGTGACATCACAAAGTCTCCAAAATCTGATCAGCTCATTTTCAGACAGGTTTGTATATAAATGGATCAGGACAAAAAGAGATGGGGCCTTTTTTCCTGAAACTTTCAGAATCTCTTTACACAGAGGGGATGAAAAAGTGGATTTTGCATAATAGGTGACTTACGTTTTATGAATGGTTTTTGCCTTTGGTTGTTCAGAGATCGCTTATTTATTTGCATGGGTTACTATGGTGCTGCAGTCAAACTTTAGCTCGAAATCTTAAGAAGAATAGAAACTCTCTCTGGAGGGAACTTTGGGATTGTAGCCTTTGCAGACGAAAAACATGCCCAAAATCCTTTATAACACACTACAGGAAAGCCCCACAAGCATAATAGGCCCCTTTAAGAAAAACAAAACATTACAAGCTGACAAAACATGCCCACAAAAATGGCTTTTATTGACTGTTAAAAATAAGGCTAGATATGCTGTAGAAGATTGAGCGTCCTGCTAACATTGATCTCCTCCATGTTAGCGACACTAGCAGGAGAGGGATGGCCGACCTGATCCATCATGCCGTGGTGGGCTTCTCGCTCATGGACCAGCTTATTTCCTGCATTAGTTGAAAGCTGATTGTTTCTGTGGACAGGCTGCAGGGTTTTTACTTAAAACATACAAAACAGGCCTGAAGCAAAGCCCCTCACAGACATAGTGCATAGCTGAGTAGGGTTACCCCGTACAAAACAAATTCATTTCAACAGCATCCAAGCCATTTCAATGTTTTATACATATATCATAATATATATTCATATTCAATGTACAAAGATACATTCGGAATTGCAAAGGCTCAATCATTGTAAATAAATACTGAAATGGCTAAACTGCAATAACATCTCACACCTCTCCTGGAGAAGACACACACACACACACACACACACGCACACACACACGACTTTCTCTGATACTGTTCAATACAAAGAGGACAAAACATACCAGTGCAGTGTACTGGTACAGAGGCCAGAAATACAGTTTCATATGACAACCAAGTGAACATTTTGTGCACTGTACTCAAGAGAGAGGACAGTCTAGAAGAAAATAAATCATCATTAATCATCAATTAGGAGAGATAAATCATCAGTTTAGGATCTTGCTTAGAATGTCAGATTAACATATAGTTGCACAAAAGGGGGCAGAGCAGCGCCAAAAAACTAAATAAATCAAAATTCTGACCTCTAAATGTGGAAATAAGGATTAGAAGGCGGGTTATGTAATCCTTAGTGTGGCTGCTTGTATCAGATCCAGCACATTCTCGTTGTTCACACCCTGAACATATCAATTTCCCCATATGAAAGTCTAAAAATATATCTATTCACCAGGATTCCTGTTATAAAATGTTATCTACATGGAGGCAGACTCAAACTGCTCAATGTTAGACTGTTTCAGCAAACTATCCATCTTTAATTTCCTTTGGTAGCAAGCGCAACATTCTTTCAAGAAAAAATAAATACTTTATCACACTTGAAAAGCTTGGTTACCTAGTCCTTTCCACTCTTGATACCTAAGGAATATTATTAAAGTGTCTACTAGCTGGAGCTGGTGGTTAAACAGAGCAGAGGACTGACAGCATCCTCATGTAATACGGGATTAAATACAAGTCTGAAGTCTACAAATGTGTAAGCATTGCAACCAAAACAGTCACACTCGGTTAGTTACTGAGCCTCCAGTTTGTACCTCTGATATATCATCATTACACTCGAGTCACAGAGCTAAGAATAACATTTCCTACAAAAGAATTCCTGTGGCTCGTCCTTCAAATCTGTAAAGATATGCTAGCAGCTATGTGAAGCTGTACTTAGGCACAATGGTGCTTTGAGCTAAATGCTAATGTCAGCATGCTAACATGCATACTCTGACAATGGTAATGTTAGCCGTCGTAGTTTAGCGGATCATTATTGTTACAGTAAATAACATGAAAAACATGTATTTTGTCATAAACTAAATTATTGAATATATAAAATGTTGAGTTTATGCTAAAGGAACTCCAAGGTTATTGCAACTCATCCTGAGGGAGGCATGTAATAAATTCCATCCGATAGTTATTCAGATATTAGGCACATATAGCCATGCAGCTGCTACATGACAATACAAAACAGATGGAGCATTTGTTCATTGAGATGGCCTGACGAGTGTTAGGAGAGTCTGGGAAACCCTCTGTATCAAAACTTTGCTGGTTGACTTTTCAGAATATCTGAGGCTTTGCTCTGTGACTGGAATGTAATGTTGAAATGGGTCCACCACGATAACATCTAGAATATTAGGATAAACACAAGGCCATGTTCTGCTCAAATAGATACTTAAAGCTGATGTGTTGCCGACTAAAACAAATCCTGACCTAGAAACACCTGGCAATCAATCCACTTTGTCTTGCATACAATCAAAAGCCAAGTTCTCAAAGGATTACAATGAACATAAAATATGATTTTGGATTCATGAAGAATCTCTAATGATTTTCTCCATGTGATTATTGTAATGTTTGAAAGTGATTTAGCATCATGCCGGGTCCAGCATGAGCACACAGACTGAACAGAGGGAAGGGAACCTGAACATGTAAGGCGGGGGGGGAAATGGTTGTATTTGAGGAGCAAATAAAAAACAAAAAGTTCTGTATCCAAATACAGCTTTACCTCAAATAATATTAGAAGAGGCAGAGGCATTATTACAGATTCAAATTTATAAAATATTAGATTAAAAGAAAAATAAATCATGGTTAAAACAATAACATGCAGTTTGTGTGAATGTGTTCACGGAGCAGCTCTCAGAGCAGTCTCTGCTTGTTTGACTCTTATTGTTCAGGAAGAAAAAGTGCTGATTAAACTCGTGTCAGAAGAGGGGGGGGGGTCGTCCCCCTGAACGCCTCCATGGCAGCGAGTTTGGGTTAAAAGGCAAATCAGGCTTCAGGGGTCAGTCTTCGTTGTCCAGGATCTGCCACACGATGAGGTGGCTGCGCTCGGCTTTAGCCTGGGAGGGGTGCAGCTTCATGGGTGGCTGCTCCCCCTCCTCCCCCTCTACATCCTCATCACCTGAAGACGAACAGAGAGACAGGACATTTGTCTCTAAATCTCCTGTGATGACATCAGGGGCTTTATCCTCTACATGTAGCACACTCACCCATCCTGAAGTCGATGTAGCCCTCTCCCCCGCTCATCACCAACATGGACTTGGTTCCTTCCTGAGCCGCGGCATCTGTCGTCTTCTCCCCCGCTGCCTCCCCCCCGCAGGAAGCAGATGGATCTGCATGACCTGAGAGCACGGAGACACACACTGTAAATATCACCACTCAGTCCAGATTGTGTTTATCTGGTGCTTACCTTCTGCTCTGAGATCTCAGCTCACTGACTCTCTAGTTTTTCATCTGAATTCAATAGTATGACAAACCAAGTCGGACTATTAAACCGTTTCAAGGGTTCCCACAAAGTCACACCAAAGTGTTTTTCCAGACGGATTACCTCAAATTGAAGGACCCCTTTTGGCAGTTGAAGCCAAAGATCAAGATTATTTTTTGTTGTACTTTTTAGGGTTAAACAATGATGCAGCTGTCGTAGACACCAATGCAGACAGTGGAATGTAACATACCTACTAGTATTAAGTAACCATTTTTGTAATATCTATTAATAAATAATTTCCCAATTTGGGATCAATAAAGTACCTATCCATCTATCTAATGTATTTTTTTTTACTAAAAAGATTGAATATCCCAACAAATGATAGTTTTGGTAGGACCTGAATGTTTGATGAAACTACATATAGGGAATATGCAGAATAAATACATGAGTTAGTTGAATAGTCGTAGAACAGAATCATTTGATCAGAAAAAGTGAATAGCTGGAGTGTTTACCTGGGACCGCGGTGAAGAACTTGACAGCGTCTCTGTGACCATGGAAACAGAGCTGGGCCTGAGCCATGGAGCAGTACGGAACAAAGGTCCCGGTCGTCACTTTGTCTCCGCTGTCGTCGCTGTACACCACACTGCCTGGCTGGTTCCCTGCTGCCTTGGCCGCCTTGTTGCCTGCTAATGGAAGGTCAGTAAGAGACAAACTAAATGTGTTAAAGATATAAAAGTTACTACACGGGCCTTTAATGTCAGAAAACTCAACTTGTTATACTCGGTTATCGATACATAAATATATAAATAATATTATTATTTTGATCATTATTAATTAAGTTAAATGTTACTTTTACCTAATGCACCTAATTAACTGCAGTGCCAGTTATCATATTGTATTAGAATGAAATACTATTAATAATTATTAATAACCAGACTAGCTGATACTAGAACTCCAACAAGACATTAAGTGTACCAGATGTGGAGTTCTAGTGTTAACTGGTCACTAGTGTGACTGCAAACACACTGCAAAGGCAGCAGAGTATAAATACATCTTCATTTTTTAACTAAATAAATAGATAAGATGTAGCTCTAATTCCTGAACTCACTGTCAGTCAGAGGGATGGAGATGATGACTCCATTTCCAGTTCCGATCCACAGACGGTTAGAGGACATCATGAGAGCTGTGATCCTCACGAATGAGAAGCCTAGTTTCCCCGTGCCTGAGAAAGAAAAAAAACAACACAACATTTGAGCTGATTGACAGGTCCTTTGTGTTTTATGGAGGAAGTGTTGTTGTTCTAAAGAGTGCACTGACCCAGCATCTTGCTGACGTAGGGCTCGATGTCCACGTCCTGGAGGTGCTGGAAGGTGTGGGCGTGGAACAGCCTGAGGGTGGAGTCCAGTCTGATGGACACCCAGATCCCGTCCCCGTCCCAGGCCAGCTGACGCACCTGGCTGTCCTTACGGGGGTGGGCGTCAAACGATTTCTGAAAGGGACAAAAAATATCCAAATAAAGAAGACTGAAAGAAGGCTTTCATGACTCAAGGCCAAAATTAAGGAAACTACAAGGCACTATTGATGTGTGAAAAGAGAAGTTGTGGATCATATCTAGTTTTTAGTGGTACAAATCGAAGCCCTAAAAGGCAAGGGAGAAAACTAAATATGGTGTAAAAACATTTTTCTCCTGTGTTTATTATTTCAAAACATAAAAGCTTTTGCCTGAATTACATTTTTTAAACTGCTTAAAAACAGTTCATCTGTGAACCAGGTTGGGGGAAAAAAAGAAGCTTCGTCAGGTATTTTATTATGTCAAGATTGTCACTTATTTGTCTAGGTCACTGTTGTAATAAACATTTCAGCCACAAGAGGCTGAAGTGCACCATCAGTTATCCTGCCAAATCTTTATTTTCTCATATTTTACTCTCAATATATTTATTTCCTTCCGTGATGACGAAGCTTTCAAGAAAATTTGAAAGATTGTCCTTCAAAAAATGTCTTCCAGTTTTAACTCATGAACACAAAAGCGGAAACAACTGACCAAAATAATCTAGGATTAAATGAGTGAGGGATAGGTGTAATTGTACCTCTATCTTCATGGCTTGGGGCTGCACTACATGGATCTTGTTCCTGTAGCCGCACCACACCTTGTCGTGCACTACAGTCATGCAGCGGATGGAGTGGTGGGGTCTCCCGAGGTCCAACAGATGGTAGTTGGTCAGATCCCACTGCCCATCTGCCACACACCAAGGAAGCCATGGTTATATTTACAGAGTTGATGGGATTGATATTACTTGTTTATTTCAAAGTAGTGTGTGTTCCCTTACCTACTCCTCTGTGGAAAATGGCTAAGGTGCCATCAGAGAGACCCACCAGTACACGCCCTTTCACATGCCTGAGGGAGAGAAGAAACAGCAGTCACTATTTGTAAACAGTTGCTACATGAGAGTGAAATGTCATATATGTGTATCTTTAATTTCAATGTACTCACACTATGCCGAGCACAGAGTCCTTCAGCTTTATAGAATGGAGACACTTCTTCCACTGAGCCACAGAGGAGTGGACGTAAACACTACAATCACAAAGGCTTTCTTCAGATTTCTGGAATTATGGACATATAAAATGAATAATTGTGATGGGCAGCTGAACTGTAACACTCACCATCCATTCTGAGCCCCAAGCCACATAGTGGGCAGAACGCTGCTCATCTTCTGAGCCTCCTCTCTCATCAGGTCCTGCTCCTCCGCGTTGGGGTTTGAACTGACGCCGTCCTTCAGCAGATCACTCTCCCTGATCATCACATACAGCATTGAGAATTAGAGAGGCTGTGATTGCATTATTTTAACATCTAGGTGCATGTGACAAATGTGTAGCGGCTACACATCTAGTTGTGAGTAATTCTCCAACTGTCGCCACTATAGAGTGATGCAGGAATGAGTCTTTACATTTGGGAATGAGTTAGAATTAGCACTCTCAAAGTCAATGTTTCTTTAAATATGTGTAATGCAATATTGATGTAGTGTGTTTATAGCCTAATGTTAGCGTTGTATTTCTTGCAATTGCACTTATGCTTTAACAATTATAGGCAGTGGTAATATGTGGAGTTTATCCTGCTGAACAAAAAGTATAATAAAAGTGTATTTGCCACAGATTTTATTTTCTGTAATATTCCAAAAACTACAATGGAAAACAAAGCTTTTTGTAGTATATAATACAGCCAGAAAAAAAAAAACGTCATCACTCCCCCACTCTCTACACAATCAATAAAAAGGGCGTCAGTTTATTGGTGGCACTGGATGTATATCTGCTTCTGTTACATAGTATTTTATAGTTATATAGTGTTTTTAATTGGATGTTGTTGCTTAGTAGGTTTGTTTAAGGTTATACTGATAAAATGGTTTTATTTGACAGACTGAATGGTAACATTGTGTACCTCTGAGTGTAGTTGGCTGGAGCCTCTGCTGTGTGCTGGACTCCCAGAGGGTCGGTGAACACGTGTTCTGTGTACGCCCCCCCCCGCAGGCTGGCTCTCTGGTCCGCAGGTCCTGCACTGGCCTCCGTCGCCTCGGTGGCTTCCTCTGCTGCTCTGGATTCTGTAAGAGGAGCATCTCTCAGTAAAGATGACGGAATCAAATATCGGAGTAATATTTATGGTGTCATTGTCGCCTTATTACTACACCAGAGAGGTAGAAAATGAAACAGGAAAATGTTTTGAAACAGTGAGGACTTTACAATCGTCCGGGCTAATTAATTCAACTTTGGATGCTTTACAGCCTCTCAGAACTATGTTAATTAGTGCAAACGCTGTTTACAGCATTCCACTATAGTTCTTCTTTTCTTTATTCTCGCGTCTTCTTCTTCTTCTCCTCCTTCTTCTTCTTATTTCACCAAATAGTTTGGCTCTCAATAACTTCAGCATACTTTCAACTACAGAAACCATTCAAATATCTAAATATTCAGCCTTTTCAGCACATGATGGGAAACTTTCAACTTTTTCAAAATATTTTATACTTTTTTAAATATTCAGCTTTTTAAACTCTTTTTTTAACATGGAACTCAATGGGAGGAACCTTCAAATCCTCTATTACCTATACCTTGCGCCAAATGCTACTCCTTCCACATACTTTCAGCTAGAGACTTCATTCCAACTTTAAAATGATCACAAGACATTCAGCTATAAAACTTGTTCTTCAGATTTTTCATATCTTTTACACTTTGAGATATTTAACTTAGTTTGGAGCTTGGTATAGAGGCCTTCTTCAGATTTTAACATTAGTGTGTATTGGGCAGCTCGTTAAGTCTCGAGTGCTTTGATCTCAAAACAGAGTGGAGGAGTTCTTGAAATTCGCCCACATTCTTTTTTTAAACCTGCCATAACTCCCAAACCCTACACTCCTTGGACATAATTCTTCATGAAAAACGTAGGAAAACCTCTCCTACGTTGAAAAATAAATAAAAATTAAGCAACAAAATTAAACAAAATGCCTCTTGAGGGCATGAATTCTCTCATTCAGATCAATGGAAAGGCTCTCCTCTCACAGATCACTGCACATCACCATGGAAACCTTTGATCTCTGCACACAGGTGTTTGATAACTTCGTCACCATGGACACCTTTGATCTCTGGGCTCACACAGGTGTTATGATTAGGTGTTATGATTAGGTGCTCAGCACAGAAAGAAAGAAAGAATGACAAACAGACTGTCTCAGGCCCCGCTCACACGGGACCGTTTGCGTTTATGCACAGTATGCGTATTCAAAAAAGTCTTCCGTTCACATGCATTAGTTTCATTTAACGTGTCTGTTCAAACGAGGCCGCTGGAAACGCTGTAGTACATATGCTGGGACTGTAAGTGGCGCTGTAACTTCCGCCAAAATACACCAAAAGCCGCGAAGAAGAGCAACCGAGCAGCCCCGCTGCAATGTTGCCATGGCTACCCTTCTGTTTAAGCCCCGAAACTGAAACTGAAACTGAAAGAAACCGAATCTGTGGATATTGCATCCCGACCAAGAAGGTCTCCGTGGAGAGGACGGCTCAGAAAGAGAGAGAGAGATATTCTCTACAAACACCGGGTGAGATCCTCCTTTGTCAATATAATGGATCAATGCATGAAATCTGACTCTATTTTGTTTAAGGAGTATATTGGGCGTTAACAATTCTGGTTTGCCTTTTATAATATTATTTCATTCAAGAACCCCTTGTGCGTTTAATTAACACAGCTATTTTTGATAGTTGCTACAGCAGTGAGCAGGAGAGGTGGGGAGAGGCGGGGCTATCGTTATTTTTTCAGGAAATATTCGTATCGAGGTGATTACACGGACTCGGTTGACCCCCCAGAGCGTTTCGTTTGCAAATCTATCCACCTTGGGACCCGTTATTGTTTGTGGGGTCAGTTTCTATCGGCCTCGTGTAAATAATAGGGCTATACGCATGCGAAACTATGCAGATACAAGCAGTTTTCTCCTCGTGTAAACGGCGCCTAAGCCTAATCTTTTCTGTCTGATGGAGACTTCATACTGACTTCAACATGTTCCACATATTTTATACATTATTGGTGACGTATGGTTTTAGTTCAAAAGTTTGCAGTTAAAATATTCTGCTGCTTTTCAAAGCGTTTTTACTTTCTTTTCTCTTCTATTAATTCACTACTACTTACATTTTATATCTAACTCCTTCAGCCTACTTAGCTGCAGAAACCATTCAACTATTACATTATTCAGCTATGTCAGGACATTGAGGCTATACATTTTGTTGTCGATACCTTTTTTTAAACCTTTTCTTTTAAATATTAAGCTTCTTCACTATTTTTCCTACTCTTCCAGTTTAACATTTCACTTTCAAGTTTTCAACAAAGTCATTGCAATGCATTTGAGCTGGAACAATTTTGATTCAAATCATTTCACTTTTCTGCATTTCTCCGCTAAGTTCAGCAACACACTGACTTGGTTTTTGTAGCTAAAAGCAGCTACAGAGACCATTCAGCTAATAAAATATTCAGCTTTTTCTGCATTTTCAGCAACAAATGTACACAGTTTACAGCATTCGCACGCATTTTCAGGAGGAAATGCATTTTCTAGTTTATTACATTTCTCTGCTCTCAGCACAATATCTTGGAAAAACAAGCTGCATTCATGTTAATTGCGGGTTATTATTTAATTAATATGTATGTTTAAATGTGTCGATTTTGTAGATGGTACAATAAATATAATATACATAATGTTGTAAAATATTTGACAGTTTAATTTATAAAGTACATAAAGAATAATAAAGTTTCAGATATTCTAACACAATAAATTAACTATGGAGGGGTAAGGAGTGGAAATGTTTTTTCTTCTTTAAAATGTTGTTTCTTTCCTTATTATTATTTTAAAAGTACATCTCCGAAGCTTGTTAAACACTGGCTTTGATCACCGAGATGTGCATGCTAATGTGAGGCAGGAAAGGGATGTAAGAGTAAATGTCTCTGACCGGTCTCTCCGTCCTCTCCTGGACTGCCTGCTCTCTGAGGAACAGCTGTTGCCCCCTCCACCTCACAGCCCACCACAGTGATGCCTCCGAGCACGTCTTCTCCCCCAGTTGAGCTGCTCTCTGTTGATTGTGAGCAGACGTTTGCCACTGGTTCTGTCTCAGAGTTTGGAACTACTTCCTCACCGGCTGGGTAGTCTGTCTCTCTTGCACCTTAATAAAGATACACACATAGTAATGGTTTAAAGATGGGCATCCTTGTATTTGGTGCAGTGTATTTGTGTATCATTTGCACACAGTTTATCCTTTTCTTCAGCAATCAGATGCACATTAATCCACCCACTGACCTGGAACGCTGGCGATGCAGAGGACGTGGGAGTCACACACGAAGAAGCTCTCCAGGATGTTTCCGGCCTGGTTGGCGTCAATGACAACGACTTTGGTGGTGGACTCCGTGCTGGTACAGATCCAGACCAGCGACGACATCTCATCGTGCTGCCGCAACTCCTTCTGCTGATCCTGCAGAACAAAGCAAAAAGTGTGATTTGTAATCCTTTACATCAGTGGTATCCAAACTTTTTTCACCGAGGGCCACATACAGAAAAATATACAAAGGGCCGGACCACTCACTAGAGGTGAGGTATATTGCCTTATCAGTTAAGTTATAAATTAGCAAAATCCATCAAATGTAGGTAAATTATTCTTGATACTTGAAAAATACTTTAAGAAACACAAAAGCCTACATCACAGCTCTCCAGAGGGTTTCATTTATTTTGTTGGCAGCTCATTCCTTAAAACAGAAGCTTCAGATTGCTTATAAAAAGAGGAAGTAGGACGGGTATATTTTAAGCTTGTTATGTAATTAAGTTATTGGGCTTTTTTTGTATCAACTAAGATTTGTTTGAAAATGTTTCCAACTTTAATTGACTGAATTTATTTCAAAAAGTGGGCTTAACACATTTATTTTTACATATATATTTAAGAAGTACAATATATGACCAGCACAAGTTTCATTTGTGGGCCATACTCCATTATACTTTGAATTAGCTGAGGGCTGTTTCAAATGGGCTGCGGGCTGCATTTGGCCCCCGGACTTTAGTTTGGACACCCATGCTTTACATGATTGTCATCGTCACTGAAACCTGTGTGTCTGTGTGTTTTACCATGAGTTCTTGGTCCAGTTTATCCAGGCTGCTCTGAGACCCTATCCTCCTTTTAGGGCTCTCTGGTCCAGGCACGTCGCTGTAGAAAACGCTGGCTCCTACGATGGAGCCTCCGTCTCTGGTTTTACCTCCGGAGAGGTTTACACCGGCAGCACACCACAGCTGGAGCACGGACACATAGATACAGTGAATACCATGACACATGCATCGTTATCACACAGGTTTACTGTATTGCATATCTTTTGAGAGCTTTCAGATATTAAGTTTGAGTCACAGCTAAGAAAAAAAGAAAAGAAAAATAATTGCTTGTAATGCAGTTACAAGAATGGTTTTCTGCAGTATCTCGCGAATAACGGGCCTTCAGCAGTTTCAGTCACAACATATCAACATTATGATTAACAATATTTTTCCTGTCTAAGAAGGGATAGTTCACTCAATAACACATCGGAGACAGCTGCCTTCTCTCCCATATGATGGAACTAGACCGCACTTATACACATAAAAATACATTTGAAAAACTCTACAACAATGTCTCTTTTCAGAACCATGACGCTTTTACTCAAGATAATCCAAAGACTTTGTTGTGAGCAGTATTCATGTAAGCTCTCCTGAACTAATCTTTTCAGCTCATGCGAGGAGGATGCCAACATTGAATACATATAGCATGAACATCTCGTCCTTTAGTCGATGCAAGCTTACTTCTGTGCCGTGAGAGAAAACAGTTCCTGTATTAAACTGCCTTCAACAAGGTCTGTGGATTATATTGAGTGATGAGGATATTGGTTCTGAATAAAGACATTACTAAATTAAAGTTGAAATAACTGATGTTTTCAAATGTTACAATGTATCCGAGAGAAGGCAGACATCAATATGGTTTGAGTTCCCGAGTTTGGAAGACACACCCAAAATTATCTAGATCAATTTAAAGCACAACGGGTAAGAAAAATATGTATTTCTGAATTTGAGCTGAACTGTCCCTTTAATACTGCAGATCAAACAAAAAAGGTTGATGCAGTTATATTACATTAAGAAGCTGAAGGACATACCTTCATAGAAGCATCTTTCTCATCCACTGGTCTGAGGAAGACAGGAACAGGGAGATTCTTCATCTTACTCTCCACCTGACCACCGTTCGCCTGGAGAAAGACAAACATGCGTTATAGTTTTTGTTCTGTTGTAGCTCACATCACAGCAGTTCTACCATGACCTGTAGAGGACCAGACATTCTGTAGTTCTCCTTACTTTGTACTTCTTGGGCAGACTCCAGCCGTAGGCCTGCACTCTGCCGTCCTCCTTCTGGACGTGAGCCTTCACCTGCTGGTACTGAGCCCGCTTCTGCTCCCGCCGGGACACCACGTTGTCCGCTGCCACTCTGCGGACAGGAAAACAGCTCACTGACACACATGGCTTTCCTACTTTTACTTTTTATACTTTAACAACATGTTACTTATTATACTTTTGTACTTTCGAGGGTTATAATTCAAACTGCTTCCTTATTGCAAATCTGTATTGCTTCCTCTAACTGCAAGTCTGTTTGATCGTAACTGGTGAAATGTTCTCCACCATCTTTTAAAGAACAAATTGCAAAGAAATAAATACTTTTGTACTTTTGCTAAAGTAAGATTTTGAATGCAATACTTTCACTTGTAATGGAGTATTTTAACATTACTGTATTGGTACTTTTACTCAAATGAATCCTCTGAATACTTCTTCCACCAATGCTTTCATAATTTAAAGAAACAGGGACAAGTAGAACAATTGGATTAAAACATTTTGTAGCATATTATGAAGGATTTACATTGAGGTCACTGTTTAGCACGTTTTTTACAGGGAATCACTCAAACCAATTCACCCAATTTCCAGGATCAGGAAAAATCCCCACACTAAACTGCTGAAGCATAAGTGTTAGGAAGGACTTGGTACATCCAATATAGAGAGATCTCTAGAAGGAACGCAAAATATTTTATGTTGATGTCCACTCAGTTTTGATTGTTAATGGAGCCAATTTAAGCAATCCATTTCTTAGTGTGGGCAATATTAGGGAAATCGGAGCTAATAAAACTCCAGCTGCAAAATCTTGCATTCATTTTGGCTTGATGGTGGATTAGTTGAAAGAACTACAAGCAATTTCAGTTGTAATTTCTCTGGGTAAATCAGATCTGTATGCTTTTGAGTCACTAGTGCCTCAGCATACACAGGTAACAGCATCCCATCATGTTTTCATCTCATTTCCTGTGAGCGACTTACTCCTCATTGAGGAAATCAAAGGCTTTGCTCTTGTCACTGGGGAGCTGCTGCAAGGTGGTGCTCCTCTTCTTCACTGACGGCTGAATCTGGGAGGTGGGTGCGTTGTACTTGACGTTCACCGGGGACTCGGACGCCGGCCTCTTGGCCGCTGGGCCCGACGAGCTGAACAAACGGCTGAAACTGCAAGTGTAAGGGTGGGGAAGTAGGAGGGAACGGGGAGAAAAAGCACACAGACAAACGTATAGAGGGGTGGACACAAGCGGTAGCTCCAGTGGCAGAAGTAAGGTTCAACATTTAAGGGTACACAAAAAAAAGGTTCCGTTTCCCCATGCCAACACACCATGCAAGGTTTCACACAGGGAGCAATCACACATTGATATGCACTTCCCCATTGACCTTTGTCCTAAACAGCAAAGCACCAGAGCAGCTTTCATCCCAGAATGCTGGAGTGCGGGGTTAATATTGTGCACCGATGAGGACGTTAGTCAACAACACAGAGCAAAAACACCCCTAACTGTACAATGACAGCATACAATACTTATCAGCGTGTACATGAGAGCGACCAATCTAGGTACTTCATGGCCCCGCCCCTTTTTGGGTGAAAATATCTGCTGTCATTTCACTGGCAGTAAATACAAGTTCTTTGCAAAGCAGAGAGAAAAAAATAAATAAAATACAATCCATTTTATTAAAAGGGCCCTATTATGCTAATTTAGAGTTCCATATTAGTTTTGTGTGTCTCTGTGAAATGTCTCCATTCTTTATTGTTCAAAAAGTTATTTATTTTTCTCATACTGCCCGTGCTGCAGCACCTCTTTTCACCCTCTGTCTGAAATCAGAGCCCAGTCTGCTCTGATTGGTCAACCACTTAGAGATGTCTCGCCCCTCAACCTCACATACAATGTGTTGCGCTAGTCAGGCAAACTTTTACATGATTATATTGAAGATCAATGATAGTCGCTGATATATTGTAAAATGAAAAGCAATAGGTGGACATGAGGACTAATGATCCGACTCAATGGCCAGAGGTGTCATATCCTAACATCTATAAGTACCTTTGGTATACACCACCACTGTTTGACATTAGTCACTTTTTTCCCCGTCATTATGTCACATTATTTTGCCTTTTTAAATGTCTGCGTTTCTTTCGGACGTACAGGTATTGACTGACTGAAGTTAAAGTAAAGAAAATCTATTTTGGATATGTTCTGTTGTCTGACGTGCAATACACGACACAGCAGCTTTTAGGCATGATGGAAATACTTTTTCCTGCTTGGCGCAGATTCTTTAATTTCACCGGAAAAGGAGCGGGGCTCTCATGATGCCAGTCAGTCACCTCGCGCTGCTCTCATCTGTTCACTTCATTTTTAACTTTACTCCACCCATGGTCCTATGTTCTCCCCCCCCCGCCCCATCTCTGTAGCAACCTTCCCAACTCACCCCCTGCACACAGACACAACATCAGCAGGATATAGAGGGACACACAGAAACAGGGCAGGAAAGACGGTGGATTTATCAGATAATGCTCCTCTTTAACACACCCCTGCCCTTATCCTGTCACCAAAAACCTGCCCCAAATAACATCCCCTTTCAAAACCAACCAATCCAAACTCATTCCTTATGAAACTCAACAGAGGAGAGCCGGGATAAGATCACAGAAATGCAGTTTTTCAGATTTAGTTAGTTCGAACAAACAAGTGCATTCTTCCAACCTCAGAGCTCTCAAAAGCTTCTGTCAGGATTGATATTTACAACTTTCTTTAATTTAATAAAGAGAAAAAGACAAAGTAAAGTGGCTCAGATCTGAGATCAGAGCTGCTGTTTCCTTCCTGGCTCTCCTCTGTTAAGACTTTGTTGTCAAGATGAAAACAGAACACCAGTCAATAAACACCTTTAGCATGTCAAAGATTTACCTACATCCTGGAGAAAACAACCACACAACATGGAATACAAAAGAAAATCAGAATTAAACAGAGAAATATTACTGTAGTCACGCTGTGGTTGGTGTTTGAGAGCTGAAGTGAGAAGAAAAGAGGATCTTACAACTGCCAGAGGCTGGATTTCTTCTTCTCTGGAAGAGCGGGGTTGTCCTTTGAAGCCCTGAGAGAGAGAGTTAAATTCATCAAACTGAATGCTTTAGACTGGGTGTTACATCAGTTCCCTTATTTCTACTTTAAAGCATATTCAGCGTGTTTTGTTTTTGTAGTATCTCTTTGAATTTTCCCTTTGTAGAGAGTGTGTGGATTAAGGCTCAGATCAGGCAAAGAAAATGAGGAATTTTATTTAATTGCAACAGTCCATCATGATAAAATATCATAGCTCTGTTTTAGTCATTTCAACAAATGAGTCACATAAGTCCAATCAGGACTAAACTCAATGTCATAACTTTATATAAGGGATTATGAATTTTGAGTGCCATTTTCTGGTAACAAAACTAAAATGTTCCTTTTGTCTGGTTAATGTTGTGTTTTATGCATGCTGGCATCTGTACTGCTTAAAATTGGACACAGATTGGTTTTGTTAAAAAAGGAGTTGTAGCCTATTATTACACTGTTCATTAAATACCAAAAATATGGACAGCCTTCTACTGCATAAACCATCTTCTGTTGGTGATCTCCTGAAATCAGCTATACAATAGAGTAATCATAAACTACCAATTACATTTAGACCACATATTTAGGTTTATTGCCCTAAAACTCTGAATCTAAAGCAGGAACTAGATGACAACTTCATTCATTTAAATATTAAAAAAAAGAACTTACCACCACCTTACTATTACTACAATTACTGGCCATCTTCAGCATACAGATGTTGCATAACTACACGCTTGAACGTCATAATGATATGAATATCATTTAGTAGTAGCCAGTATACCACATATGTAATTATTTAATAAATATCAGCTAAATGGAAGAAGGTACATTTACTTTACACTGATAAAGTGACCTACAGTATTGATGTAGAAACAACACATTTGTGATCATGCATGAGTCAATTATATCAAATTGTATAGCATATAGAGCACAAATGCAGAAAATAACTACTATTTAATTTCACAATTGATTGATTCTTCCATTGTTCCAGCTCTACAGTACTTCATATGGTCTTACCGGATCATCTCGGTCCACCTGACCGCCTCCTGCAGCTCCATCAGCCTCTCCTTGTACTGGTTCCTCTCCATCAGGACCCTGGCCATCTCCACCCTGGTGAAGCGCTTCCTCTGGGCTGTAGGCACATCGCTCTGCTGAGAAAGCATGAGCAGGAGACCACTCAACCACTATTCAATATATATACAGATTATAAATATTGGCACATTGACCTTTTATTTATTATCGCATGATCAATCCAAATTCTTATGAAGCTTTTTATAGGGCAACACTAACAGCTGTGGAAAAGGTATTAAGTGAAAAGGTACATTTGACTAATTAAATCAGTTTCAAGGTTTGTGTAGAATTCCCAAAGAACCTCTACTGCTGTTATCCACCCATCACAAAATATATCAAGAGCTTACGTCCTCCTCATTGTCGTTCTTGACCTTCTGTTTGGACTCCTCAAGCTCTGCCCGAATCCTGCAAGTAAGTACACAACTCTTCAGCAGCCACTTTTATGCTAAATGTATACTCAAATGTGGTATGTAGACCGACGGGCTGGTACTTACTTCTTGATTTCCTCTTCTAATTCTTTGTTCTTGTCCTCCAGTTTGGTCTTGGCCTGAGTGACGGCCTCCAGCTCCCCCCGCAGAACCTCCTTCTCACAGGTCAGATCATCCATCTGTGCTATGAGGTCATTTTTCACCACGTTCAGAGCATTTCTGTAAACAAACACATGCATATCAACATACATTACACACAAGGTGGCAGCACTGTCCTGTTTTTCAACTATGCTACAGAGCGCATTTTTTTTTGCATGTGTTCATGAATGAGTTTGCATAATTATCTAAATTAATATTTAGAATGAAGTATGTTTGTTAAGAGAAAAGATAGCAGCACTTCTTGCTAACACTGCAGTTGGGTCATAGTAGATTGAATGGCAATAAACAGCTTTTGCTTTTTTTGTATCCACACTGTAGATGCATCTGTAGAAGCCTGAAATTGATTTGTCAGAATAACCGTCTGGAATCTTATGCATGATGAAGAAACAATAACAAGCATTTTGTAAAAAAAAAAGGCAAAAATAATGGATTTATTTGGCATGTAACTTAAAGGTGGGGTTAGTTAGTTTGAGAAACCGGCTCGAGATACACTTTTTGTTATATTCCATTGAATGCTCTTAACATCCCGATAGCAATGAATATCTGAAGTGCTTTGACAAAAAAATCCATAAATAAATGTAATCTGTGGAAGCCGTAATACTGTAAAAAGCACGACCAATCATTTTAGCCGCCCGGCTAAAATAACTGGATGGCCTACCTGCCTGTCAGCCTTCCATCTGTGCACAAACTTATCTCGTGCCCTCATTGGTCATGTGCGCGTTCGTGTGTGTTGGAGGAGGGGCTCTGTAAGGAAGTGGCAGATTTTCTCCGGTTGTGTATTTTCAAATTCTAGCGATCTCGAGCCGGTTTCTCCGAAATGACCTACCCCACCTTTAACATGACGTACTAATGTAGCAATATCTGCAATCGTGATATAGATACTTTGACATTAAATGCTTGTATTTTTCTCTCTGGCTGCTTACATAAACACTTGTGGAAGATAGAGTTGGCTTTGAATAAAAGGAAAAAAAAGGTAATAAGTACTAACTTGGTCTCCAGCAGCTGGGTGTTCTCATGGATAAGATGTTCCACTTCCCGACCCATACCTGAAAATGATGTGAATACACAGTGTTTTATTTAGTAATTCGTTCCATCAGGAAATCATTTATCCTTGTGTCTACCCTACAAACTAGGATTCTCTCAGTCTTACCCAGAAAGGTGTAGTCTGAAAGTCATGGAAAAGATGATGCAGCAAAGTAAGAGATTTTTAAACAAGTTCTCATTGAAACTGAAACTATTCTATAGTTACTGCCCAACACAACACTGTAACACTATTCACAATTCTGCACATCTATGCCACAAGGTAACTAAAACCGACTCTAGGACATACATTTAGTATAAGAAGCTGGTAAAGAAATATGTGGGGAATTCATTCATACACACCAGAAAACTCATCTGTAATGAGGATAAAGCCCGACAGCCAAGGAAAGACAATTGAGAAATGAAGTGATGAAAATGATGAGTAAAGGAGATGATGAAATGATAACATCCAGTCAGGAGGCTTCTTACCCAGCATGTCGGCTCCTTCATCCATGTCTGCTATCATGTCGTTCCCTGCAGACGACAGCTCCTCAAACAGAGAGTCTGTGTTACGGTCAAACGCCAGATTCTCTATCCCCCCTTTAGTTGGTGTGCTGGATGTACAGATGAGAAGGGGAGGAAATATGAAACAAGAAAGAGAGAACATAATGATTATAAAAGTGAAAGAGGCATCGTGTCGCAAGATTTCTTTTGTATAATAACGCCAGTCTTAGACATCTGAATTCGTGTTAGTCAGCTGTTTATATTTTCTTTAAAGTCTTAGTCCTGTATTACATTGTTAGTTAATTATATTGAGTCAACCTAATCGTGTTTTGTTGTTAGTTGATTAAAGAGATATTGTATTCAAGTTTTTATATTTTAAACCACAGTTTTGTCTCGATAACAATATTTCATGATGGCCTTTAGGGCTGTCCCGAATACCATTTTTCGGGCTCCAGATATTCGGTAGTAATCAGCAGCGAATATTCGGATATTGATATTGGAGATTTCAATAAATTCAATTTGGCAGCCGCAGTGCCAAAAAGAAAAAAACAAACGAATATCCCAATAACGAAATTGAAACCCAAATAGTACTCCAACGAACGAATATTCGAATATTCGGATATTCGGGTACAGCCCTAATGGCCTTGTCTTAGTCACGGCAAAAAGTCATCGTTTTTGTAAGGAAATAAACACTGATATAACATCACTTTTCCTTTGACCAGTATTTTTAACACTTTGTGCATTGTGAATCTATGTTTTTCTGGTTGTTAACATATACCATTTAATGACCGAAATGATTAGTATTTCACTATATTGATTTACTGTATTTATTTTTTCTGAGATCCATTGCTTTCCAAAAACTATTAAAATACATTTATACGGCAGTCATAGAAATGGGCAGCATGAAATTGCAGTATAAATATGGTAATAACGGGGGGGGGCGGGGATGTCTTTCGGCATGTTTAAAATGGGAGACTAACGCATTGGTAGCATTGTTTGTTTGTTTGTAGCCTTTATTTATCCAGGTTAAAAATCCCATTGAGATCAACGATCTCTTTTACAAGGGAGACCTGCAATTGCATTGGTTGTCTACTTGAATTTGTTGAGGAAAAATAATATATAGACCTATGCCAGTCACGTCATTTAACCGTTGTGCACTAATGTCATTAGAAACAAAATGTCTGCATCAAAAACGTGCATTAAATGATACAGTTATAATATTTTTCACTTTAACTAAGTCACATTGTTTTAACCAACTTCAGTTCTGATCAAAACCACCCAATATTATTTTTTTCTTAATTTAAATGTAAATGCCGGTTTGTTTCAATAATTCTATTAGTTGACAAAAACAAGAAACATGTTCCCAAAATGTATGCTAGATGCTAGAGACAATTTAAAAATAAAAAAAATCCCCTGTGAGGGAAAAGGGTTGAAATCTTTCTAACTTTAGGGTAATGATGATACAACATCCAACAATAAGTCCTGTACCTCGTTCCTATGCAGCCTTCGAGGCCCATGTCCAGCTCTGGAGTGGACTCTATGATGGCCTGCACCTCAGATTTCTCCACATTCTCCGCTCCATCTAATAAAACCAGCAGGGATACAACACAGTGGGATGAGTAGCCAGTACTCTCAAACTGAGGGGAGCTTAATGTTAAAGTGTTACTTTGTTACTGCATTAAGCACCATCAGCTTTGAGGGGTGTAGAGGCGTCATGTCCAGGCTGACCTTGCTGTCCTTCCTGCACGGCTGCAATGTTCTTACTGCTCTCTGGTTTTCCTCTGCTCCTGTCCAGGTTCTTGAAGAGCCCATCAGAAACTTCCTCTGACTCCATGGAAACATAGGAAGCAGCAGGGGACAGGGGTGATCCAGATGTCAATGGACTCATCCCGGTAGACACTCCGTCATGAGGAGACTGTTGTGTGGTTGACTGAGAGTTAGCACTGTGTGAAGATGCGTTTGATTTAGAGGCACCACCCTGGGACCCTTCACTTTGTAAAGTAGTTCCAGTTTTGGAGACCCTTCCCTGGTTGGTTGGAGTACCGGACTTGGAGCTGGAACCGGCCAATTCATCCTAAAAAAGATAGAAGAGGAGGGAAAGGAGGAGTGGAGAAGAAGAGAGTGAGGGGATATCATTCAAATCAAAAAGGTACATCTATTTTCTTCATGGCTATGGCAATAAATGCAGCTACTTTGCAGAACATATTGATCCGAACACAATAAAACAAAAGTGGGATCAAGGTGAAAATATGTTCAAAACTCACTGCATTTCCAAACTTGATTTAAATAGATAAACACTTGAATAACGAGCGTCAAAGTTGACATTGATTTTGAAAACGTTAGCTTGACACAACTTTTTTAACTCATGGTCTAACTTTTTACCAGAGGCATACTTCGGCCACATGAAGACAACAGAGACAATTTAATCATAAGCTAAGGAAAAAGCTGGTAAGTGAACCACGAGTTATGATTCTTCAACATTTGAGGAACTACAATAGCACGTACATCTACATTCCTTCTATTTAAATAAAATCAAGCCAAGAGTAGTAGATGTTACAACCAACAGTGTGCACCAGTGCACCTTGACATGCAGCTGAACACAAACCAATCACTAACCAAACCACCACATGCAACCAGGACATTCTATGTTTGACAAATCATATAGTTTCTGGCAATGAACAACCAGAAACCAAACTGTGGTTAAGTGTGAAAACAGCCTTAAGATATGGATCCAAATGCTCAGAGTGAGGGAAGTCGTGATAAGTAATAGCCACTGATCAATCTCAGATAAGCCATGGCTCAGTTTCATCAACTCTCCCAATACGCTAGTGGTTTACCTTAATGGATAGCAATCATTTTAATGTTACCAATTAACAGAAAATAACAAAACTAAATATATTGCTTTTAAATTTTGAGGCCGGCTAAAAATAAATAAGGGAACAGGTCAGCATCATGCAGTGTCAATGACATATGAAGTGAAGCCAGTATGTTAGCATCATTGTATTCAATCACACCAAAGCCAATTCTGTTAATGACTAAACTTGATACGTTTGGTAGACGCCAGGGTTAGAGTTTCTCTGAGTCACACACAGGTCTACCTGGTCCTTTTCAGCATCCTGACTGGGAAATGTCTCCTTTGAACTTTCACCTTCCTCTTTGATTGGGGAGAACTGTTCCTCAAAATGAGGGATATTAAAACACCTTGGTCATTCATATTTTTCAACATTAATTCCACAAAATGACTTTATGTGAAAAAAAGGTGACATGTAATGTACAAACATACAGAAATAACAGGACGTTGCAGGAATTATCGGGCCACAGAAGCACGTTTGCACCTGTCTGCCACTGTTGCATGTATCCCAAAAATAAACAAAGCTGTGGGGTAAGCCTAAACTGAACTACACGAGCTAACTGTGTTTCAAGCCATATTTATAGCTACACAAAGTGACTAGGTTGGCAAGTGCTGTATGAATGAAAATGACCTTGATGTACAGTACCTAATAATCACTCTTAGGTTTCATCAGCTCTCAGCAGCTCTATGTGGCACGCAGAATTTCTAACCCTGTATTGTTTTGATCTGTTAATGCCATTGGCTTGAGTGCTACAAATAGAACAGGGCATGAGGGAAATTAATCAATCAGGACAACAACAAGGCAGCAGATCCCTCGGTCACCTTGAGCAGACTTTAATAACACAAGCAGATATTGAATGAGATAGATTCTCTACATTGGTTTATCCCTTTTCTTGTGTCCAGTTCATCTCACTGCAGACGTATGGCAGTATTTCATTTCATGTCTGCATGCTGCTTTTACTCTATTGTTACTACAGCTGCACTGAGCAGCCTCCTCTGCGGATAATGGCTTCTCACCGACCATCCAAAAACATTCACACACACAAACATGCCCCTTCATGTGATGAGAGGGAATGGATTATTAACTGTAAATCTTTGTGACTGGGCATTTTCCAAAGGTACTGCTGTATATGTTAACCAGAGTGCCTGGTGTGTTTGTGTGTGTTGCAGTTGTGGGAGAAAGATGTGCTGCTACACCTAAATTGTACTCAAGGATTTAGGTTTAGGTGCTGATAAGAGTAATTATCAACCATTTCTGATGCCTGTTATAAAACAAGTCCTGAACTCTAAACTTACAATTTCTCTCTGACCCTGTACTAGTGTAATAACAGCCAATGAATACCTATTAGGCAGTCATTAATATTCATGATGGCCTTGCCTGCAACATGGTCTCCAACAGCAACAATGTGAAGACACTCTGTCCTCTCCACCCTCCCCTGAGGTTAAAGACAGGCCCCAGAATGGTACCACTTCCTCCGCCTGCTGGGCTTCAAGCCACCCTGTTACACACACAAGCGGCTGCTACAAATTCTAGACACACTCGACAATCCTTTCTCCCTCCATAGAAATGTACTCTCTCTTTGGCATTGAGGGCTTGCATTTTGGTTTCCACAACCTTATTTAAATGAACTGGGGATGATGTCACTAGTCCCATCCGTGGGAAGCTGTATGAGCCAACATCTGACAGTAACTAACACTTTGAAACCGGTCAAATAAAGCCCTGTTTGTGTGTGTAGCTGTACGTCATACCTGGAGACTGGTGTTAGAGCGCGGATGGCTAAGGTTGTTGAATCTCCATGGTTCTGAAGGGGTTTCAACGGGTTCCTTGTGGAGCTCAGGGGTCACACCATCAGTTCCGGGAAGTTGGAATATGCCCATGGAGATGGGACGCTCCTTTCTGGATATAAAGACAATAGAAGGATTGATCAAAATGTAACACCGCAATTTCGAAAGAAAGGAATATACAAATGTCTGAAAGACTGGCCTGTTGGTGATGTCTTTCTCACATTATTAGAATAAAAAGAAAACAAGACTTAGCCTCTTGTGCATCTCTATGAGGCTATACTTAGGAAGAGCAGTGCTGAATGCTAATGTCACCATGCTAACAAGCTCATAATGGTAACCATCTGATTTAGCTTGTAAGGATGTTACATTTAGCTAATAAGCACTAATCACAAAGTGTAGCAGCAACTGATGGGTGAGGTACACAATGAGTTTTGCAGGGATAAACCAACGTAATTGGACAAAGGCTGCTTGATCATTGTAAAAAACCCTATCATATTTGGGAATAACAGCATCCTTGATACAACATAAAGGAACTTGTTTGATATCGTTTTCATAATTGTAGGAAGCCAAAATTGTACCTGAAAATATATTTGCTAATCCCCAAGCCATATAGTGGACAAATACAAAATGTTGACTGTTAAAATAGACTGAAATCGAAAAGTTAGGAGTTCGCAAAAGTTATAGCATTTGATCCTCAAGAGTGTATATAACAAATGTCCAAGCAATCCACACAAATAGTAGTCAGAAGTTCTTTCCTAAAATCACAAATGCCAATGTAATGACATCGCTAGTGGAATAGACAGGATTACAAATGCAGTATGATACATCGTTAGGGAACCATGAATATCTGCACAAGCCACTTGATCTTGCAAATTGTTAGAAATGTCCTTAGGATTCATCCTCTGTGTACAATGGATGTTTTGCTTAATAATGTTGCAATCTATCCAAAAACAGTAGACATATTTCTGTTTAGACCAAAGTGTACCATAAAGAAGAGTTAGGGAGATCTTAACCAAGAAAAGCAGTCCCAACAGCAGCAGGGTGCAAGAACATTACACGTATGAAGTGAATTATATTGTGCAATAAGAAGTGCCCGATACGAGATATATTTTAGAATATATGAAACCGGTTGGACAGTTTCTCATTAGAATGTTGTCACCCTCTCTCTTCATGTTGTGATGAGATTCCTGCAGAGAAAGTGACCCTTGGTAGAAAAGTGGTGGGTGAAGTGATAAATAAAGTTGCCAACGCTACTTTAAGATCCTGTTCTTCCCTGAGCCTGAAGTAACTCAAATAAACGGGCAAGTAGTTAAAATGTCAGCATGTCTGATGTTAGACAAAACAATATTAATTGTGTGACGAGTCAGAGTGGAGACTTCACAGAGAAGTGTTGCTTCAAAGACTGCCTTGGGACAGTTTGGCACTGAAGTGATTGGAATAGAAATAAAGCTGCCTCATAAACTCCATTACCTCCCATCTATTAGCTCAGGCAATAACATGAATCCAGTTGTATCTGTCTCTATGATGGGAGTTGTATCAGCATGAGTGTTATTAAAGGATGTCAGCAGAGAGATATATCAGCATGAACACATAGCTGTTACCATCTCCATCTCTTATAAAACGTATCAACAGCACACTCTTGCATGGAGGGGATGATATTCTAATTCAACAACTCTGAGCACTGAAAGTCCAATAATACTCTATTGAGTATTATTGGACTTTCAGTGCTCAGAGTTGTTGAATTATGAATGGATTCAAGTAAATATAGAGTACCCTCCACTGCATCACACCAGGTAAACACCAGCAGTTATTCTCACTCCAGTGGCTTGGTATGAAGTGAATATTGTACAGTGGAGCAGAACAAAGGCTGCCATTGAAAAGAGCAGCCGGCAGGCAGCGGCCCAAAAACAATGGACACACCACCATATTGAGACCAAGAGGTCACATGCGGGACCAATGTGGCCTTTTGTTATTTCAACCGGGATGAAAAAGAAAATCATCCATTTTATCTTGAAAAATATGCTAATTTACTTATGAGAATAATCATTAACAGTTATAAACTCTAGCGAATTAGATATAGCGATATAGTCTTTCAGATATGGCTACTTTTAGAGTGCAGTCTCATGCTGTCAGTTATAACCCAACCACATGGCAGCAACATTGCGACAGGGTGGCTACAAACTGACAGTCTACAGAGACGACAGAGAAGATACATTAATTAAGCATATAAAGATAAGATACACACATAGAGGTTATACCTGCTGACTCTGGGTAAGGAGGGTAAAGAAGGCAGGGCAGGTAAGCCACCGGTAGAGACAGAGTAGTGAACCAGCAGCAGCACTGACAGGGACACCAGCACAGCAGTGTTGATAACCACCGCTCCCCCTACAAAGCCAAAAACAAACAGCAGCATACGCCCGGGGCTCATGGCCCCCCCAGATCATGGCCCAGTGCCTCAACAGGGACCAGGAGGTTCAGACGATGATGGCAAATGAGATGGGTCACTGAAGCACCAAATTCAGCCTGGGAGGTTGGACATTGGCCACTGTGAGTACATCTACAGTGGAGGTCAAATATGCTGTATCCTTCTGGCTGGGAGTTCGCAGCAGAGCTGTTGGCTCCGTACACTGCAGCACAACTGAGAGCAGCAGTCACAACAACAGTAATCCTTGAGGTTTCAGCAGCAGTGACTGAGTAGCAGAGCAGGAACACACAGCGCAGAGTCAATCATCCACAGAGAGCAGGCAGCAGCAGCTCCTATCCTCCACTGTCCTCCTCTAGCAGGGTCTCTTTCCTCCTTCCCTCTTCCTATCCTCTGCTGAGATACGACACAGCTGCCGCTGTGCAGTCTGGAACACTCTGACGCTCTCCCACCCTCACTCTGTGGAACCCCCCACCCCTCCCTCCCTGTCTAACTCTCTCTTTTGGGTGCTGAGGCAGCTTGTTTCGTAGGCCTCTTCTCAGGCTGCAGCTTATTGGCTGCCAAACAGGGAGTCTGATCTAAAATTGTGTGTGTGTGTGTGTGTGTGTGTGTGTGTGTGTGTGTGTGTGTGTGTGTGTGTGTGTGTGTGTGTGTGTGTGTGTGTGTGTGTGTGTGTGTGTGTGTGTGTGTGTGTGTGTGTGTGTGTGTGTGTGTGTGTGTGTGTGTGTGTGTGTGTGTGTGTGTGTGTGTGTGTGTGTGTGTGTGTGTGTGTGTGTGTGTGTGTGTGTGTGTGTGTGTGTGTGTGTGTGTGTGTGTGTGTGTGTGTGTGTGTGTGTGTGTGTGTGTCAACTGGAGGGATATGTAAAGGCTAGGATTTAATGGGGGCTCTCTAAATACACACTACAGTGTTAACCACTATTCACACCTCTGTTTTATGTTTTAAAGTTGAATTAAAGCAGTAAATGACAGGTTATCTTATGAGTACAAACTGACAGAAATGGCACAATGAAAGAAAGTTTGCAACTATTTCTATCAGTAGCTTTATAAGTTAAATGGTTATCATACAACACTATTATTGTACTCTTTTCTGTCTGCTCACAGCTCTGTGGGGCTGTACTTGAACTAAATGCCGTTTACATGCCAATAGAGTGGTGCAGGGATGACGTATTTACCCGGAAGTAAGCTGCGCATGGGTTCCCTCGACAAAAAAGCAATGGGATTTCTCCATAGGACTTTGGAAAATAGCTCGAAATAAGGTCTGTGGAAAACAAACCTGTTAGATAAATGCACGTTTTGTTCAGCCGGATAATATCCACATGTCTACCCTACTTTTATAATTTTCTAAATCATAAATCGAATCGCCAGAAGCAAAATGCTAACGTTATGCTATAAACGAACTACAGCAGGGTCGCTGCTTCAATGTCACGCCAACTTAAAAGGAGACCTATCATGCTATATTTGAATAATATATTGTAGGGCCATACCTATATAAGGTATATTTATACGTTTTCTTTTTCAAAATACCAAACAGATCATGCATTTTAGCCATGCCTCATTTCGCTCTCCTCCACCCTGTCTTTGCATGCGCTGCAGCTGACCACTGACCGTTACGAGCGTCATGTTACCATGCTGTTACCATGCCACGGCAACCTCTCATTCCCCTGATTGGTGGAGAGTTGGCCATATAGGCGGAGCTCCTCGTCACTGACGTCAGACTATTTTCCAATCTGGATCAGTTTTTATCAGATCCGTTGCAGCCCCGTTTTTAGAGATTTGGGTATGGAGGAAAAGAGAAAGGGTTGTGTTTTCTGACACTTGGTGAGTTCCCTGACACACCGGGGACACATATTCATGTATAAAAGACGTACAAAGGTGCATTTTGCGTGATAGGTCCCCTTTAAGATCGATATTCAAAAAATACAGATTCTAAATTGTACGAGTTGAAGCGTTTGTTTGAACAGTTTGCAGGAGGCAGGTACTTGCTTTCAAGCAGCAGAGGGGCAAACAAACTTAGCGGGAGTGTTTACGTGTTCGGCGTAATGACCTCGACAACTTCTGTAGTCCTATTCAGCCACTTGTTAACAACCATCGTTTTTCAGACACGTAAACTCTTCAGAAATCACCAGTGGGGTCACTGCTGATGTATTTAATGTCGTAGAACAAAACGTGATCCGTCTCTTAAATTTGTGTCAACCACAGACCTTATTTCCAGCTATTTTCCAAAATCCTATGGAGAAATCCCATTGACTCCGAGACGAGGGAACCGGTAGTGGTAAAATGCTAACTCGCTTTCGGGATTTAGGACTCGTCACTGCACCACTCTATGATTAGCAGGTATAATGTTTACCACATTCACCATGTTGGTTTATGCTATTATTTACTGTTCGGCACTAAATGCAAAGTCATTAGTCGACCTAGTGTCTTTAGTTTTGCTGGTATTACTTTATAAGCCAAAGTGTGAGAAAATGTTAAATGTTGACCTGATGATGGTGCTCGAGGGAAAGTCAATCAATGACCAAATGTATTGCAATTCATGCATATGTGAAAAAAAGGGGGATGTGAATATAGGTCAGATTTGGTGGCAGTACATCGAAGAATCATCAACAAACCATCCGATGGCTAGGATGGGAGACCAATGTGTAAACAGAAACGGAGTGAATACTGGTACTTGCTGACACAAAGGGCTGAACCAGTATATCCACACAAAATACTAATTAAAAATAAAACAAATAGCCTTTTTTTAAATTGATATGTTCATAATAACTGATAGTGGGTCTGCTGACCTCCTGGCATCTGCAGTAGGCATAATCTGCTTCACAAGTGAGCAATCAGCCACAGAGCTCATCAGGCCATCGTAGGATTACTGGAGATGACTGTTACAGCTCTGATCCACAGCATCCTCGATCTGTCCCACTCAACTCCAGTTTCATTTATTTCAGAAGTTTATAATGAAGGTCTATCTTCCATAAAGTCTGTTCCATGTGTCTGTTCCAATACAGGGTTGCTGTCCAAAGAAATTGAATGGACATAAAACACACCTTGTCAAGTCTTAAAATCAAATGTTCTCATTTATTGTATTGTGCCCATTTTCAGGTTCATATATGTATTGTTTGCCTCTGCTGTGACATGTCTCCATGCTTTAATGTTCAAAAAGCTCTTTATTTCTCTCATTCTGCCTGTGCTGCAGCAGCTTTTTTCACCCTCTGTCTGAAACCAGAGCCCAGTCTGCTCTGATTGGTTAGCTGGCCAGCTCTGTTGTGATTGGTCAACTGCTTAGAGATTTTCCATCCCTTAACGGTACCTATCACGTACAATGTGTTGGAGCGTTAGCCAATTGAAGTTCGAGTATTACATAGTGATGTCATTATGTAATGAAGTAATCAAAGTATTTGAATGGAGGCATTTCACGCAGGGTGGGAGAGAAACTTCCTCTGGTGGAAACTTTGGGATTTAGCCTTTGCAGACCATTAACACGAATGAAAACCTTTATATAACACACTACAGGAAAGGGGAATATCGAAAAAGCATAATAGGGCCTCTTTAAGAAGGAACTAACAGTAAGTAATGAGTATGGTGTGGTTGTCTCACCGTGTTCTGGCTGATGTCCCTGTATCTGAGGGCTCATGTGCGACTGCATGCTGGTGTTTCGTTCGCTCCAGGTGCTCCATGTAGCTGTGGATCATCTGGAAGGGATATGGCAAAACAGAGTCGTGGAATAAGCTTCAATTTCATTTGGAGGTAGTTTCGTCTCAATATGGCAATATTGTAACTCAAATTGTTTAAAGTGTCAATAATAATTATATGTATAGGCCTATGTTGCATTTGTTCCACATATGCAAAATAAGATTTGTAAATACTTTACACATATAAAATTGATCTGCAAATATACAAATTAAACAAATAAAAAAAATCTGTGGATACATTCAATTGATTTACTTACATTTATTTAAGTAAATGAAAAACATTTGTTGATATCTTTCATAACTTTGTGAATCAAGTTATGCTTGGGGATCAAAAAAGCATTTATGGATTTTAATTCTATGTTTTGCACCAAACATACACAGAGTTTTCAGACATATGCGATGGCCGTGGTTTCTGCATTTCAAAGTAAGAGCAGTACAGGTTGTGTGCCGTTTATTTTTAAATGTTAACATGTGTTATGCTATATTAAAATCCCAAAAACCTGTACAAAACGAGGATGATGAAATGACTGTGTTGCTACCAAACTACAGCATACGTGATTATACCATTTGAAACATTCATGGTCACTCACACATGAAGAATACGTCTCCAGACTCAGCTGTGACAGTCAGACTCACAATGAAGGATGTAGATTTGCCCCGCGACTTCATTTGATGTGGCCCACAAGAGCTTGCAAAGAATATCATACGTTTATTATACGGTTACATGCCACTTTACAGAAGCAGGTTGCCCATAAACTACATGTCCCACAATGCATCTCGTTTTGTGACATGGGCACTGAAGAAACGTGCAATTATTTGCCCTGGCCTTCTGCTTTCAGACGTAGTTAATTACTAAGTTATTACCCTATCCGATAATAATCCAATTCAGAGGCAATAATGTCATATAATACATTATTTTATATATGTATATTTATATAGTTACCACCGGCCCTTTGAGTGCAACCATAATGCTAATGTGGCCCGCGAAGAAATTGAGTTTGACACCCCTGTTTTAGAGCATCTGTTAGTGATGCATCATTTATTAAGAGAACTAGGCTGACTAATGACTCAACAAAAACATTATTCATGTTTGGATACTTTATGTTTTAATCATCTTTTCTTTTCATTTTCACAACTTTTTGTTTAACCAGAGGTGCATATAATTACACTGATATTTGAATGTATTGATGTGGAATAATTCAATAATTCATTTCTTCTTTTTTATGTGTTTTTGAAAAGCTAATTTGTATATAAACTGAAGCATTCCCTCTATAAAATGCTTCAAAAGAAATGCCTGAAAGATAATTTATCTACTGATGGGTAACTGCTTTTTCATATACACACATTCACTTTTATATTGACAAGTGATATTTTATTGATGGTTTTATGTTGTTCCTGAAGTTTGACATCAATATTAGACTCAAGCTATTGTTCGTAAAATGATCTTGTGTTGACTATTAAACAGTGATGTCATTAATTAGGTGGAGGCTCCAAATTGCTACCTTTTTTCTGCACCGTGTATCATTTGTTATGTGAAATACAGATACAACACTGTGTGTATCTGGGTGACATATGTGACATAACCAAACACACGTCATTATCCCAGGCAGACATACCTCAGTGTGTCTCTGATGAAGCGTGTTGTACTCCTTCTTGAGGTCTGCTTCTCTCTCGTCACATCTGATAACTGCATGGAAAAAAAGAAAATTACTTAAAGTGCATATCATGAAAAACACCATAAGTTAACAACAAGGATCTTAATAACAACAGCAATAGTTCAATAAATAACAAGTATGGATCAAACTGCCACACTGACTAAATGTGTCCAGTGGGAAACCAAGTATACACAATTTCTTTCATTGGACTCTGGGGTACCGTTTGATGCTAGAGTGCAATAACCTCACTTAGCCAGAGGAGGGCCACCATGCATCAACAAACCCCTCTGAACTATTGAGACAGGTTATCTCAGCCCTCTGAAGCAGGGACTTTAAATCTTAAAATGACCTAGCAGCTCCTTGGGTTTTGATTTCAATGGTGTCAAAAGTTTTATATTAATGGTTGTGGTTTGTAGTAGGGTTTCAAGATAAAAAACAAAACTAAATTTCACCTATTTCGACTGATATTGCAATTGATTCACAATATTGGAGGGCATTAAACAAAGATATTTTTCAGAAGTCCATAGAATACAATTTGTAGGGCCAGCAATTCTCTGTTGCAACAGTAATTCCTTAATTCAGAATAAAATGTACACATATTTAGCTTGCAACACATATTGCGCCTCCTGCAATTTGAATTGAATAGGCTAACTGGTGAATAGCCTATATTGCCATTACCATTTAAAGAGGCCCTATGTAATGGCGCATTTCCACTACACGGTCGGCCTCGGCCACACTCGGTACGGCTCGGTACGGCTTGGCCGCGTTGGGCCTTAACAGGGCCGACTCACTTCATGCTGCGCTTCCATTACAGTTTAGGAACTGGGGTAGTTACTATAGTAACGCAGTGTAGGCGGAGCCGTGACGTCATCTTCAATGAGAAATCCAGAAACACAACACAGCCGTTAGCTGTGAGCACTCAGAGCTCACAGCTCCTTATATATGTTCAGAAACTCGACAAAAGTTAAACAAGTACACACCACAGACTGCCTGTGTCATGGTGAATACAGTCGCTGCTGTATTTATGTCTGTATAGGCCGTTGTTGTGAGTGTGGACGGTCGGGGCATATACTGCGTTAGCTTAGCCAATCTCCATCTAGAAAAACACGAATTTTAAAAGGTTTTTCGCCTGCCGTCTGTCTGCAAACTTGACAAAGCATTAATTCATGGTTTTTACTAACCGGTATCAGTATGTTGTTACTTCGGCATCATTTTGAAACGTGTATTACAATTAAATCACGGTCAAATATGTCCATCTTGTTGTAGTTCTAGCCCTCTTGCCAGCGCTCCTCTCTCTAGTTTAGCATACTCAGCCCGACTCAGCCCTGTTTGTTGGCCCCGATAGAACCACAATTTTCTAGGGCCAGAAAAGAGGGGAAAAAGTGGCCCCGCGCCGTGCCGCGCCGGAACGAGGCCTAGTGGAAGCACAACCAAAAAAGGGGACGGCACGACACGGCACGCTTAAAGCGAGCTACGCGCTGCAATGGAAATGCGCCATTACACTCACTCATTGGCTAACCCTCCAACACATTGTACGTGATATGCCAAGGGGCGTATCACGTGCGGAAACATTTCCCACACATCTCATAACGGATGACCAATCCAAAATAAAGACCTTTTTAAACATTAAAAGGTGGGGTAGGTAATTTTGGAGAAACCAGCTCGAGTGCGATAGAATTTGAAAATACACAACCGGAAAAAATCTGCCACTTCCTTACAGAGCCCCTTCCTCCAACACACACGAACGCACGGGCCGGCTAAAACGATTGGTCGTGCTTTTCACAGTGCTGCGGCTTCCACAGATGACATTTTTGTATGTATTTTTTGTCAAAGCATTTAATAGATTCATTGCTATCGGGATGTTAAGAGCATTCCATGGAATATAACAAAAAGTGTTTCTGAAATAAATTACATACCCCACCTTTAAAGTATGTAAACATGTCACAGTAGAGGCACAACATACAAATATGAGCCATGAATTTTGCATAATATAGCCTCTTTAAGTTTAGATTAATGTGCAGCCCCAGTTTGAAATGATAACATTCAAAGTAACCTTAAGGTAATCACTGGAAATATTGGTGAATAATTATTTTTTAAACTACACATTTCCTGTTTACAATTTAAACTAAAGTGGAATAAGTGGAATTAACAATAGACACACTTATCTTAATAGTAACAATCACCCTCAGTGGTAATCCATCTGTGGCCTTAAGGTGAGATCAGTTTGTAGTCACAACAGCCACACAGTCTTCCTGCATTGCCAGATGCCAGCAAAGTAAAATGCCCTTTAGCAAAAAGCTGACAGTGGCACTTAAAAGTCCCTTACCATCTGTAAAAGTGGCCATGAAGAGTGCCGGCTGTGAGCTGTCACAACTTATTTGCACGACCTGTCATGCTTCATGCTTTGCAGCACATGTCGGAAATATCCTTTTTTCCAGGTGTTTAACAAGGCTCATGTACTTGATACAGAAAAAACACCACGTAATCAGTGAAGAACAGTTCCGCAGTGAGCAGCTGCATAGAGGGATGTAAACAGTGATTCAGTGTGCCTATGAGAGGGCTGAAAGAGGAACTAGGAGTCGAGGAGTGAAGCAGAAATAACCTGGTTAAATACAGAGGTGTGAGTAAATGGAAGTGATGCTAAGGAAAGCCCCACATGATGTTCTCATTCATGTCAAAGTGAAATAAGTATATAAAATACAAAAAGTAAATAAAGCGATAATCATTTTGAGGGTTTGTTGTCGTTTATCCAAGTTTTGTTTTTTTTCAAATTTCCTTTGATACAATTTAGCAATAAGAGAACAACAATTAGGTACCTAATACATTCTACTGACCTAGAGTGTATACATAATTATTTATTTTCATTATTAAATAATGTGCTAATGTTCCCTTTTTTATTTTACCTTCTTTAAATCGATAATAGCTCGGTGTATGAAATGTTAAGCATTTTTTTTTACAATATTTTCAGTCGAGAAATGACTGAAACAATGTATTGATTATCCCAGAAAATTGCCAACAATTTTTCTGTTGACTTTTTCTAGTTTCCCCTCTAGTACCTCTAAACAAATGCCCAGAGTTGTGTCTATTTTTTATTTGTATTATTTAGTTTAATTCATCATAGTTTCCTTTGGTTAATATTGTATTTAGAGTATGTTTGAGTGATCCACTGACATCATCAAACCCACACTATTGTCCTTAGTCACACTGCTGCCAATCTGCTCCACGAGACACATACAACTCTCAAACATAAAAAGGGAAGTGATACATTGAATGAAATAAAAACAGATTTACTGAGAGCTCTTAAATGTTCCCTCTGAATGAGGCGTGTTTTACGGCCCTGCGCTGAAACTAACAAGCAGTCACACACACTGTCAACAGTGCAGTCATGCACTCATCATGAGGGCTTTATTTTCATGATCTAAAAACAGTCCTTAAGACTTAAGGGAAGACTTGTACTTGAATATATTTTATATTTTAATGTCTGAAAAAAGCATTAGATCACTCACTTTTTACATGAATGTTTTAGGCAAATAATTATCCAAAAACATGGAACGATACGAAAAATAAGGATTTTCTAGATTAAAAACAAGCAGGTTAACAGCCTTGATTCTTCCTGTACTTCAAAGTGAGCCTTTCTTTATACGTGCAGATTATTATATTACAGCTCATTTAGCAGACATGGCAGTTGGCAGGCTACAGTCATGTTAACCTGTGTTAGTTACCTTAATTAGCTGGGACATGGGAGCCCATCTGCCCTCTGGCACATCAGGCTAACAAACAGTCACAAGACCTGCAAAATGTCAATGCTGCTCACAGGGTCTTGTGTGTGTGTGTGTGTCTATCCCAGAATAGAGGCAGAACAGTAAAACCTGTGTTTGTGAACTTACTCTGATCTGCATAGTTTTTAGTTTTGCGCTCCAGCTGACGGGAGTGTGCCTCCAGCATCACCAGTCGACTCTGCAGATCTTTCTTCTCGCCGTCCTGGGAGTCTTCTAAGACGATGTACCTCTGCAGATAAACACAGAACATACAGGGAAAGAACAAAAAATGAATTATTATCAAAGCCCTGACATTCTAATGAGTACTGTGAACTCCTGGTTAAGTAATGATCAGATGATTGGTTTCTGGCAGTGACAGGAATATCACACATGCCTGCTGAGACATGAAGGACCTTTTAACCATCACCGTCTATTACATTAGACACTTTCAGTGTGCAGGAAATAGAGTTGGGGATCCTGATTAAAGGTTCTGAAGCTCAGAGAGAAACTGGGTTTAAAACTTGAAAAACTAATTTCAAACCATGTAACCAAGTTTAGAACCTAGGGGTTAGTTGAAAGACTATTAGCGAGGACCAGAAAGAGCACGATTTCACACCAATCACACCCATTTTTCTATACAACACCTTTATTATTATTTTTTTGTTCCTAGCTATTTATCAGATTTGCTTTTAACCCATGAACTCAGTATATCCCTCAGGTCTTCTGCTATTTGCTTTTTATAATGCTTAATGTAAAACAAATGCCCAAGATAATGTGTCTTTTCATAATTACGGCCCACAATTGTAGAACAGCTTCCCAGGACACCTCAAGTCTCAAGTGGTGGTCTATTTTTTGTTTTACATATTGTGTATAAAGTTCAATATAAAATAAGCTTGATTAATTGATTTTAAATCTTGTGTGTGTTTGATTCAGACCTTCTCATGCTCACAGTGTTGACACCAGTGGAACATTGGGAACAACAGTATTGGTCTTCTTTCCATTGTGAATGTCATCTAACCTCTCAGAGCAACAGGTGCACAGCGCCGGCTTCTCAAACAAGAAATCTAACAGCCTTTGTGTGTGTGTGTGTGTGTGTGTGTGTGTGTGTGTGTGTGTGTGTGTGTGTGTGTGTGTGTGTGTGTGTGTACAGACACAGTTTACTGGGTAACAGTTGATTTCAGTGTCAAGGTTGTTTTTTCAATCTTCACAGCAGCCGTTAGTAACCTCAGTCCTTCTCCGAGGGGATCAGGGACTATGACTGTTTTTATTTCATGAGAAAGTGGATCACAGAGATCATTGGGTGCATAAACACCAACATGCAAGATAAATCATCAGGAACACAAAGTTTCTATACGTATTACTTCGATCCAGCTTCCCAACCTGTCCTCTAAGAAAATGTAATAAAAAATGTTATGCGAGTAAACCGTTAATCCCTGATGGCAATTTACACTTTGTTTGTGAATAGATTAATCTGGATGAAGCTTTGATGAGCTCCGACAAGATTTTAGAAAAACTAGAACAAAGTTAATGCAGATAACCCGAAAACAGGTTCCCTCCAGAAGGAGTTTCTCTCCCACACACCACCCCCCCCTGCCTGAAACTCCTCCATTGGACTTCTTTGTTCACTTGTGTAATAAAGTGCACGATTTGGGGAAATAATCTAATTGCGATTTTTCTGACAGATATTGCGATTCGATTTGCGATATTTGTTTTTAAGCGACCCAACGGAAGTTTATTGTAAAATGCGGCCATATCTCCGGCTAGGAAGGTCGTATCAACGTGCTCCCGTCTCTAGCACACCCGCCGCCAGAGCTACGAGTGAAAGAACTAAACTTACATGAAACTTCCGTTGGGTTGCTTTAAAGTCAAGCTTCAGTTTCACCCTGTAATAGAAACATGTGATGGAGCATTACTAACCTGACTCAGATGGTTTGTTTCACCAAACCATCTAGGAAAGCTCCATTGGAAGCCATTTGGAAAGGGCAGGCACTTTCAGAAATCATCACCTTCTATCATGGGCCACTTCTGATTGGTTAACAATGGCTGGTACACAGCACTTCTGATTGGTGTGGATGACTGACACACACAGCAGGCTTTGCGATTTGATAATTGCATCATTTAAAATCGCGATTTCGATTTAAAATCGATGAATCGTTCAGCCCTAATGGACACATGTCACAAACCTGAAAACGAGCAGAATATTTCCTCTTTAACATTGAAATGAATTATGAATTGATGACATTGTTTTGTACGCCGACCCAGAAGTTATCATTGCCCTTGTGCTCTTAAAGGTAGGGTAGGTAAGTTTGAGAAACCAGCTCGAGATCGCTAGAATTTGAAAATACACAACCGGAGAAAATCTGCCACTTCCTTACAGAGCCCCTCCTCCAACACACACGAACGCGCACATGACCAATGAGGGCACGGGATAAGTTTGTGCACAGATGGAAGGCTGACAGGCAGGTAGGCCATCCAGTTATTTTAGCCGGGCCGGCTAAAATGATTGGTCGTGCTTTTTACAGTACTACGGCTTCCACAGATGAATTTTTTTATGGATTTTTTGTCAAAGCACTTAAGATATTCATTGCTATCGGGATGTTAAGAGCATTCCATGGAATATAACAAAAAGTGTATCTCGAGCCGGTTTCTCAAACTTACCTACCCTACCTTTAAGGAAAAGCTAATCTGATTTTGTTTTATTGTATTGTAATTATTGCAATAAAACAAGCTCTTTTGGAAGAAAAAAAACGTGAATTATGCTGTCAAGTTCTCTTCAACAAGATAATAATTTAAAATGAACACCAGTTTTGTGATTTTTAAAGTTTAAATGCATTTGCCAGAATTAAAAAGCTACTGTTAGGCTATAGAGTGGCGAAGTCACGCCCATCTACTGCCCCATGGGACCTTATTTCGGAAAAATAATGTATTGAAGTCAATGGAGAGAGAAAACGTATCTTTCGATCCTGTTTGAATTGTGCCATGAATTACACATATGATGTTTGTCAATCTTAAAAAATCATTTCCATGTCAAAAAAGTCACAGTTTGTCATAAAACTGTTGAAATATAAGACTATGAAAAATACGCAACTAGAAAGACTACAAATCCCAGAGTCGCGTAAGTGATGTCACAATTGTTTTCCTCCACTAAGAGATAGATAAGATAACGCCATATAGATAGAATCTATCTATATGGCGCTGGCTAAGATAAGATAACTTTAACAAGATGCCTGTGTACCAGGTTGTTCATACCAGCAATGGGTCTTGCTCGTTCTTTTGCTTCCCGTCTGATGAAAGGACTAGGAGTGTCTGGATCAAGCTAGCTAGTAGCTAGCACGTTAGTTAGCATTACAGCCTTGTCATTTTTATTAGCCTTAACATGAAGTAACATTAAGTAACCCAAAATGTTAAACAGTAAGAGTAGTAGTCATATTTCGTGAACCCTTTGAAGAGTACTGTCACCGGTGTGATCATTCTATAATACACAATTTAAGCCCGGGGGAGAAATGCTAACGCTAACGCTAGCGATCTTCTCTACTTCATGCTATCTGCACAAATGGTTGACATTAAACATTAAAACGACCAGGCAGTTCAGAGAGAATCAAAGGAAGGCAGGCAGGCAGCTTTGCATGACATTCTTCAGGACGTGTTTCATTGTGGTGATAGTGAGGGCAGAGTTCCCGTTAGAATATTTTTTTGCCGGTCAACATGTCCGTTAAAGTTGAAATCTTCCGGACAAAATTAGATAAGTGCCGGTTAAAGGTCTTCTTTGTTATTTATTGAGCTTTAAAACAAATTGATATGATTCGACATTAAACAAACTAATTATAGTAGATTAACTACATTATTCAAAAGTGTACAGTAATTTACAAAAACGCGGGAATAATAAACGGAGCGCTCTCTCCTTCTCCTGACAGCCCGTCAGTATCATGCAGCTCGCGGATCCAGTAATGAGTGACCCGACAGTAAAACTAAACATATCTATAACTAGTTTAGGTAGTTTGAGAGGTAATTAAAATAGCTACGTGTGATTTTCTAACCTGAAGTGTGTTTTGCTCTGCTCGCCGCTGCAGGGGATCATGCAGAGCTGCGTGTCGACTCGTCAGCAGCAGCCGATCTCTCTCTCCTGTCAGATTAGACTTTACTCGCATTTATGTCCATATCGATCAGATCTAGCTAGTTCTAGCTAATGATATGACTACCTGCTTGTTAAAAGACACCTAAACAATAAGCGTCGCTATGCAACCGGATGAGGCCACAAAGTATAGCGCAGCATTATGCATTTGTTTACATGCCCACCGGAACCCCGAGGCATTACCAACAGATCAACGCACAATCAACCCATACAGGACATCTCTTTCTCCACATTAAGTGTTAGACATTAGAATTGACAATTTTTGTCTGTCACATACTCTTTTGTCTGTCACATACTATTCTTGTCTGTCACATAAGTGGCGCAACTGATGCGGTATTGCGCTAAGGGAAAATTATTTTGACCGGACATTTTGACCGGAGAGATTTAGATTTGCCGGACTTCAGCATATTTTACCGGTCATTGTCCGGTAATTACCGGCTAACGGGAACTCTGAGTGAGGGTAGTCAATTGTTTTGTTGACAAGACAGTAGTGACGGCCATCTTGGTGACGTGTGTTGTTGTGCGAGACCAGAGATGTAGTTCATTGAGCGTTTCACACAAACAAATGTGTTACTTCACAGTTTTACGACACATTTTTTTTTTTTTTACTTGCAAAATTATCTTTTAAATTGACAAACATCATACGTGTAATTCGTGGCACAATTCAAACGGGATCGAAAGATAATCTTTCTCTCTCCATTGACTTCAATACATAATTTTTCCGAAATAAGGTCCCATGGAGGTCCACCGGAAGGGGAGGGACTTCGCCACTCTATTAACAAACACGGCATGATCGCATTATTTCACATTTCCACTACTTACTATTTATTAGTCAATTTATTGAACATGTTAGAAACAAAACAAACAATAATTATTATTATTATTATTATTATTATTATAACAAAGAGAAGCAAAAAAAAAAGAAAAAATTAAATTCTCAAAAATAGTTTCTGTTGTGTTCAAAAGGGGCAAGAAGAAGCTTAAACATTTTTCTGGTCCGACCCCTTCTAGCATTACATTGTTCATGAAAATAAAAGATGAGGTCATCGTCATCAGCATCCGTGATATTGGATTCATTGTTTTAAACAAATAATTGTTTGTACAAAACAACCAAATAT